ACTTATCTGGACCGCTCTCCGGGCCTTCAACCTGACTGGACCGTCTCTCAGGGCTTTAGTCTATCTGGACAGCCCCGAGTATCTTGGCCTTCAACATAAAGCATGAACGCCTCAACCCAACAAACCATAACATGACGACAGATACAATAACAATCAATAACCAACAAGTACAGATAATCATACAGATCTAACAGTCTAACACATACTCAGTGAACATAAGTAATCATACAGATCTGCCAGTCTATCATATAACCAACATAATATACCATGATACATAATCTAGTGGGCCAACATTGGTGCTTTTGACCCACAAGTATAATAAGGAAAACTCACCTCACAATCTGAAAGATAGCTGAAATGAATGCTGCTCCAAATACCAACTCTACAGGTCACCCATACAACAAATAGGGACGTAATCTCAAAGTACTGCTCAAATTACCCAAATTGCCCCTATGTCAAACTTGGTCAAATTCCTTGTCCAAGTCAAGGTCAAAAAGTCAAAGGGGTTACACAGACTGAGTACGCCCAACGTACCCAGTCACTACACTTGGCGTAGTAGACCCTTGGCCAGGTTACGGGGCCTTTGCACAGTACGCACAACGTACCACCAGGTACGCCCAACGTACTCGACCTGAATCTTCTTTTCCTCATTAAGTGCTTATTCCATTAGGATTTCATGTCCAAAGTTCAGATCTAGTCCCAAATAACAATCTAAGTCATAAAGTTTTCCAACTTTATGACTTTCCATGACTAAAAGTGGTCCAAAGCCCAAATCCCTAACTTAAAACACAAACCCAAGAACCATAACTCTTTCATGAAGGGAAGAAAGGGACCAAGGTCACATTTTTATGGTTCCTAACACTCAAAAACGTCTGAAAGTACAACTCTTATGGTTTAGAGTAAGCCATATTCATGAAAACCAAGATTACGAGACCAAATGCATAAAACTTAAGAACTTAGCAAGATTTAAGGAAACATTCATCAAGCTCCTAACTTTATACCTTCTGGAGGTTGCTTGCAAGGTGAAAGTTCTAGATCTATAATTGCTTGAAGCTTCCAAGATGATTCAATTACCTTCTTCTTCCTTTAAGAGCACAAAAACACACTCTCAAGCTAAAAAGGCTCACACAAAGGATTAGGATTTGCAAGGGACGATTTGGGAGAATGGAGGTTGAAAGTGGAAAGGGTTTTGAGGGATAAGGATGCTTAAATAGTGTTCAAACCCTAAAAGTTAGGGTTTACATATTTGTTGAGTATGCCCAACTTACTCACATGCACCCGCGATTCATTTAATGAACTACGCCATGCGTACGCCCCAAGTACGCATGACATAAGGACCAACTTTGCAACAAAATTTCATATTTAGGGTCAAAGTGGAAAATAGCTAATGCTTGGGTGTTACACAATAGTTTTGAATTCAGTAAATTATTGCCTTCAGTTTTGTTTCATTAATAATATTATTATAACATAAGTTACAATCGTTATTGTCATGTCTGATTGTAGAAAGTAAATCAGGTAACCACATGAGCAATATCAAACGTGTGGTTTTGATAGTCATTTCAACCACCACAACTAATAAATTTGATTGTAACTTCATCGTCAATGATTTGAAGTTGTATTTCAATTATAGGCCTGTTGTTGATCTTGAGCATGATTATTGCCGTCACCACCATTAGTGGCAGACCCAGAAAACGAGGGATTGCACAAATTTTTTAATGGTTGTAGTATTAGAAAAAACTCATTTCCGAACGAAGTTTCCATCACAAAATCGTCACTAAACCGACAAATTTACACGACATTCACAATTATCAGACTTTGTGATTGCTTGCTAACGAATTCGTGACAAATTTTTTACGGATTCTCAAATGGGTTTGTGATGGATTTTCGATAATTTTTCACTAAATTTACATTTGATGAGAAAATTATAGGGGTAGCCCATGCTACCTCGTGCTACATAGTAGTTCCGCCCCTGGCCATCATTGTTTGTTGGGTAAATACTCTCGAACATCTAAAGTAAAAAAATGTTATGTTTTGTGTTTTTTCATCATACATTTGTTACATTTCTTCCTCTTCATCATTATCACATGATCTCCGAATATTGACGAATTCATTGGCATACTAATTTCCTATCCTCATTAATCGTTCGTGATCAGTGTAGCTTCGGTTGTACTTTTTTTTGGAAATGAAACATCCCTAACGAGGGTTTTCCAGAAAAATTTCGCGCACCGACTAATTCGGACATGAGGCTATGCCTCATGCCCTAGAACCAATATAGGCGAACCTTCATGGCCACATTAAGATTTGAACATAAGTCAATGTGTTATTATATCTTCCACACGCCTTACCAAGTCACCACAAGTCACAACCCAAGTGGTTACTTCAGATGCAATTATAAACCCTACGTCGGGGAAAATGAAAGGGAGAGGCGGTGTAATGTAAGGAGAGAAGGATGAAGAAGAAGAGAAGGCGTGAAGAAGAATATGCTGATCTAAAGTTAATTTTGAAAATGAAAGGGAGAGGCGGTGTAATGTAAGGAGAGAAGGATGAAGAAGAAGAGAAGGCGTGAAGAAGAATATGCTGATCTAAAGTTAATTTTTTTTTGTTTGTTTTTATCAATTTTTAAAAAGTTCAAATAACTAATATATTTATGTGGACTCCATATAGACACTGACTCACTCCAACATCATTTCATATGACACACTCACTTGACTCACTCCACCATCACCATTGAAACCGTAAAATAAAAGACTCTATCTTTTAAACATGTTATTTATTAGTCTTTAGGACATACATTAAAAAAGAATAACACAAATGACATCAAAAGTTCAAAACCTATATAGTTCATTGGTGTATGACAAGTAAAAATGACATTAACCAAATTTAATCGTCAAGGCCGGCCCGAGGCATGTTCAGAACGTGCTTGTGAACATGCCTATCAAAATTTAGGGCCCAATATTTTTTCCCGATTTTATAGTAGGTTATGTTCAATTCTTTTCGCCCAAATAGTTTAATGATGTCTGGTGTATCATGCGAGAAAGGAAACGACGCAAGTGCAATGAGAATCATAAATATTTTGGGAAAAGGGAACGACGCTTAGGTTCTCGCCGATAGTGATTAACTGATTTAGATTTAGGCATTGGAAACCAATTAACAATCAACATTGAGGCTTCAAGGAAATCACTCAATCAGAAGCTAAATCTTGAGTTCGTACTTCTTTCTTCTTACCTCTTTATTCACAAACCTCAAAACATCAGGAATCAGAATCGGGATCGAGGCTTCAAATATTTGATGCACATTGAATTATGGAGTGAGGCTTCGAACATCAGAATTCATGACCGGGTCTAGGGTCAAAAATCAGAAGGTATCATACCTCTTTTTTTATCTGATACATTTTCTAGTGTTGTTTAGAAGTAAAATTAGTTTTTTTCATTCTTTCTGATTCATATAATCTCGAATTTAGAAGCATTGAAACAACAATCCATAGACTTTCAAACAAACTTTAAGGTTTAAAAGTTTCTGATTTTAGACTGTCTTGAAGAGTTTGAAGTGTCGAAAATTTGAAGGTATTATACATTGTTTTTTTTATCTATATGATACATTTCTATATTGTATAGAAGCACTTCAATATTTTTTTCATTCTTTCTTATTCCTATTTTCTTAAATTTAGAAGCATTCAAGCACCATTATGACAACTTTCAATCCATCTTTGATCTTGAGGTTTAGAAGTTTCAGATGTAGATTTGTTGAAGTGTCAACATTTAAAAGGTAATTTTTTGTTTTTTGATATTTTATTGGAAGCAGTTTTTCTTTTATGATAATGTAATATAACTTACTGATATCATTTCTAATTTTATTACAGTTATTTAGAGGACAAAGGTGTTAAACTTTGCTATTTGAGTTTTATAATCCAGGACAAATGGAAGCAAATCAGACTTTTTCTCAGTATAATTCTTGTGTATTATTTTGAATCAAAATTTAATTTTTGTTTACTATTTTGCAATAGAATATGAAAATTATAATTTTTTTACTTAAATTTTTATGTCTTATAAATGTAGGGCCTATTTTTTATAAAATTGCACAGGCCTTTGAAAACCCTTTTAATCGTACACTCAGTGTTAGGGGTGTTGATCGGGTAATTTTTTCGGGTTTTGGGTAATTCAGGTCGGTTAATTCGGGTTTTTCATGTTAAAAAAAATACCCGTTACCCGACCCAAATTAAATTCGGGTAATTCGGGTTTGGGTAATTCGGGGATCGGGTCGGGTTTGGGTAATTCGGGTATTACCCGAAATATATAATTTTTTTTGGATTTCACCTGAAAATAAATTTAATGAAATAAATACGCCGTGCTTTATTAGTCTTGTTTATATAAAAAAAACGAGGCATAAACGAAGTTACTCAAGCTTTGAACATTGAGATTTTTTAGTCAATAATACCTGAGATATCAAGTAATTTTTTAACAACTTAATCTAATCTAATAAGATGTTAAAAAAAACAAATACTTAAAGATCTTAATTTAAAAGTTTAAAATGTTTAAGATAATTATAGCCATAAGTTTTGCTATGTTCTGAAGTTTCGTCAAGATAATGAGTTTGATAGTTGCAATAAAAACTATAATCTAGAAAACAGTTAAGTTTTAAAGAACACGATGATATATTAACAATTACTTTTAATATTGCTAGTGTCATATTGTCATAATAAAAGAGATTTATGTTTTACAATAATGATAGTTAGTTTAAACGTGATCAAATACCTGCTACAGAGTACAAACTCTACGAAAAAAAAAGAATTTTTAAAATAATTCAGGTAATTCGGGTATACCCGAAACCCAACAAACGTACCCTTTACCCGACCTGAACAAAAATCGGGTTACCCGATTACCCGAAAAAATTTACCCGATACCCGATTTACCCAACCCTATTTATCCGAAAAAATCGGACGGGTAATTCGAGTATCGGTATTTTCGGGCTACTCAGTGTTTACTTTTTATGTACATCCGACTCGCTAAACCAAATCAAGTAATCAACAATGCATCCGAGTCGACTCACTCAAGATGATCGAGAAGAAACCATATAGGCATATAGCACAGTAGCGATATGAAGTGGAGTTGACTAATCTATCTGCGGCTCAATACTCGTTTCCAAGAAATCGTAAAACCGGGCGCCAACATTCACAAGTCAAAAGATATGAAGAAATTGTTCCTCAATCGGATATTGTTTAGTTTTACCATCTCTATTGTCTGTTTTTTCTCCACCATGTTCGCCGATTCCGCTGAAGACTCGCTACTCGGATCAGCTCGCGTGGTTTTTCAGGTTCAATTCCTCCAAATCACACAAACACATCGTTTTGCTTGCAATTTCTTATCAAAAGTGTGATTCTTGGTCAATGCTTACTTGATAATCATGTATTTGCTTCTGGGTTAGGTTATTTTGCCGTGTCTTGGGTTTAATCCTCAAATGTAGCTCATCTGTTTGTTTGCAACTTATAATCTAAGCTCCGTTTCATGTTTACACTCAATTTCCCAAATTGGGGATGATTAAAGATACATCTTTACTAAAGAACTCTAATTGCATAACGGGTGAATCTGATCTTTAACTAGTTCTTACTTCGTTGATCGCGTATTGGCATCTGGTTTAGGGTTTATCTTAACATGTTTTTGGGTTAAATTCACAACTACACTTTTATTTCGACCTTTTGCCAAAAACATGATCTTTGATCACTTGATTACTTGAAACATGTGCTAACTTCTGGTTTAAGGTTGTTCTCTCATACTTCTAGGTTTCATTAAGAAAAGTTAATCCATTTTTCAGTCTAGGAGAGTGCGTATGAGTTTATGATCCAATGGTTACTTTTTCCTGAATGCAGTTTGTTGCCATAAAGTTGTGATTTTAAATCTCTACTAGTTTAGGTGTCTTTTATCATGTTTCTGTTCAACATTGAAGTTTAATCCATATTTTATATTTGGCAGAGTGAATTCTAGCTATATGCTTCAATGTTATACCTTCTATTTGCAATTTAATTCCAGAATTACAATTTTTACTTTTTGCCCAACAGTATCATATATATTTTTATTAGGGTTGAATACAAATTTCATATTTGGCAGAGTGAATTCTAGCTATATGCTTCAATGTTGTATTGTTAGTGATACCTTTGAACGACATTGTTAAAACCAAAAATAATTAGGGCAGAGGTTGCATTTATTAGCTCCTAATGGATTACAGAAATAATAGAAAGAATCAAAGAAAAGAACAAAGTAATTTGAAAAGGTACAAATACAAAACCCTTCTACAATTCTAAAAGAGAGTAGGAAAATTCCAGTGAAGATAGAGAAATGGGGAAAAAGAAATTCAAAAAAACAAGTTCAAAGGAGAATTCTTAAGATTTTCCGACAAAGAATTGTTGTAAAAAAGACAAAAGGGACTGTTACAAATGTGATGAAAAATATGTTCCATGCCATTTGGCCTGAAAAAAGAGCTCAATATCATAGTTGTCTATGAAAAGCTTGGAAAACACAAGGTTATGGAGTTGTAGAAAAAGAGGAAGATGAAGCGGAATTGTCCAATGTAATCAAAAAAGACGAAATTGAGGTATCTTTTACCTGTTGTAGGTCCCGTAGACGATTCAATTAAGCACTAAACAAGAACACAAATAAAGTACTTTGAAACTAAATCTTTATTGCTTAAGAAATAACTTTGTAGATACAAGAGATAATCAAAGAACAAACTCTGATTATATAAGACACTCTTGAATTGATAACATTCACATAGAATGTTATCATGTATATAACCAAAGACTAAAAACAAAACCCTAGCTTAACATACAAGCTAGGCACGAAAGTAATCTCATTCCCTAAAGATTAGGGAGTTTTTAGTTGTCTTTGGTAACTCAATCTTCAGATAATCCTTTTAAGATCTTCAACTTATAGCCTAAGAGTTACCTTCACACTAACGAGTATTTTCTAGTAATGCTCTGAGGCCATCAACGTAAACATACGCTGAGACCATAAGGGGCAACATCAGAAGCTACATAACCATGGGCGAATTTAGTAAGGGCAAAGGTAGGTCCTAGGACCTATCTAAAATTTCAATTTTATTTACAATGTATATAGTAGAAAAATTAGGAACTACTTTAGAAAAAATAGAGGACCTACCTTGAATTTGTTTTTTTTTTTTTAAATATCTTAAAAACAAGTTTAAAAAGGAAAAAAAATAAGTTATTAAAGGCAATTTGTTATTTTAAATTATGGGATTGATAACAAAAAATGAATCACACTTAATCGGCACTTTCAAAATATCAATAAATAAATAAAGTGTTAAAAAGAAGCTCATATGACAAAGACGCACACTCTCCGTTCGCCGTTTTATCAATAAACTATTAATCAACTAATTTTCGTTAAACCGTACGGTTTTTTCAATTATATTTCAATCGGTTTTTAAAAAATTTTAATCGGTGACGCCTGATCGCTTTTAACTGGTTGAACCGGCTGGTCCAGTTTTTTTAGGGTACACGACCCGACCCGACCCCTACAAGTGTTGTTGATTTTTTGTATTGGTTTCGCTTAATTTGGGAACCACGTGATTTTTTGTTCTAGATTCGCCACTGTACATAACCAAATCTTAGAGTTTGACTCAATAAACTACACCTAAAACAATGAAGCTAGAGAGCTTAATGGGATCACAAAAGGCCTTGGTATTGATAGATTGTGGGGCATCTCACTATTTTATCTCAAATACATTATTTCATAAAACTAATTTGGAACTGAGTCCAATTGAAGGGTATATCTATTTATAGGAGTAGGTGAAGAAGTAGGAGGTCAAGGAATTTGTAAAAAAGTCAAACTATGGATGCAAAGGATTGAAATAGGGGAGGATTTTCTACCCTTACCCTTACCAAATTCTTATATAATCCTTGATATACAATGGCCGACCTAATTTGGTCTAATGGAGGTGAATTTGCAAACTCAAACAATGAAGTTCGAATGGCAAGGGGAACAAGTCAAGTGGCAAGGAAATATGTCTCTGAGGTGTTCTTTAGTATCTCTCAAAGCTATATCAAGACAATAAAACAAGAAAAACAATGTGTATAATCTAATTGGGTTGTTTAGAAGAGATGAAGACCCATTAACTTACCCACTTATTCAAAGGACATTTCTGAAATACTAAAGATCTTTGAAGGAGTTTCAAGAACCCGAAGGGATTATGATATGAACCAAATTGGAACTTTTTATGAAATCAAAAGAAAACAAAACATGGGATAGGTTCCTGATTTTTGAGACACATGGTATCCCTAACCCTGAAACGGCGTACAATTTCTAGATGCCCTTCTAATCAAGCATCCTCTTATTTATTCTTATCTAGACTGAACTAACAAGTTATCGTGAATTAAGCAACTACTTAAGATACGCTAATAGTAATTAAATAAGGTAATGATATTACTTTCCTTTAACTACTAAAAATTAACCAAACAACCCATGTACTTTCTTTCCTTTGCGTCGCTGGAAAACTGCCTTTATCTCTAACTTTCCACAATTCCAAAAGGATGAGATATAAAAGTTGGTCAAATAGATGCTAGAAGCCTGCATAATACAAAAAAAGGGTCGTTTGATAGTTGCTGACCGAGTTAGCCTATTTAATACCGTATGGACCAGGTCCGATCCCAGTCTGAAACCGAAACCGAGTGTTTGTTTTGCATGCTGTCATTGGACTCGGTCCAAAATTGGGACTCATTCCTCACAAATGCTTCAGATCCAGATCGACTGGAGAAGGGGTAGAATTTGGTCCTCAAAATTTTGTGTCCATTTTGCCTTATCAGAAGAACAACGCGCTCCTCTTGCCGTTTCTTCCTAATTGCTGTCTTCTTCCTCCTCGTTGTCTTCTTCCTCCTCGCTGTCTTCTTCCTCATGTATGTTCTCTTCTTATTTCTTTCCTTTCTCAAGTATTGCTGTGTACATGTTCTTAAAATCATCCAATCAATTGTAAAACCACTCAAAATCCATTGCTGTGTAAAACTCAAATCTTGTTGTGATGAAATCAGCCTTTAAAGTTGTGTGTATCTTTATGAAATCAAACCTTATGTGTATGCTAATAAAATAGAATATTGCTTTTATCATTCTTATGTGTATGAAATCATCCCTTATGTGTGATGTGTGTATATGTATGAAATCAACCCTTATGTGTGTAGGTGTGTAAGTTTATGAAATCACCCCCTTATGTTGTCTATGCGTGTTATGAATTTTATGTTTAGACATGGCTGAAAAGATAAATAGAGTTGGTTAGTTTTCGGATATTGTGAACAGATGTTTTCTTGAAGCATGTATATAAGAACTAGCAACCAACGGTCGTTAGGGTAGTGGCTTGAAAGGAACCTCATGGAATGTATTTGCTGAAAAACTAAAAAACGAACATGACTTTGTAATTGAAAAAAACAAATGAAATATTGTTATCACTACTTGAAAAGCAAGTATGCAGTTTGGTTGAAGTTCAAAAACAAAACTGAGAATCCTTATATTCTTTAGTTTAAACACATGATTATTTTGTTTTAAAAGTTTGATAATATTAATAATTTTTTCAAACAGTTGAACAAGATGGTTGACAAATTAAAAAATGTGCTCCTCGCTTTCCTAGATGTATGCACCCAATTGTTTGACGAGACGACTTTGACCGGTTGTAACAGTTAGGGACCATCTTCGACACTCCCTCATCTCACCGAAGTGTTTACTACACATGATTTTGAGGATATTGAGATAGAAGATCCAACATTTCAGATGGATATCCCAGCCTCAGCCTCAACAATACTCCCACCTACAAGTGCCTTACCTGCAAGTGAATAATCCTCTGGTGGTAAAAAAAGGGAGGAAAACAAAATGCAACCAAGGACACACTAGATGATGAATTAAGAGAATTAGGCAAGGAAAGTTGAACATAAAAATTCAACCAGTACCACGAGAGTATAAGGAAAGCTAAATATTCGCCTTCCTTATCCATATGTGACCTGTTAAATGTTAAATAGAAATTACATATAGCAATCCTAAACATAAAAATCTATAATATGAACCATAACATAGATTCATAACATAAAAATCCATAACATATAACAATCTTAAACATAACACATAACAATCCTAAATATAAAAATCCATAACATAAATCCATAACACATAAATCCAAAAAGATCTTAAAGCCATACTAAAGTTAACCAAGTAATCTAAACTTCTTCCTGTACTTGTCACCCACGATTTACAAGTCGACGACTTGAGGCGTAACCAAATTTTCCTATTACCAGCATTTTCAGCGAATAACATAAGAGCAGTGGTGTATTTCGGATCAAGTTCTCTCCACTCTATGCTTTCCAACTGCTCCATACATTCGTCCACCTCCTTGTCAAGATTATTTGTTTCCGTGAATGCCTGTATAGCCTTGATAATTTCCTTGCCGACTTCTCTTAAGTCATCATCTAGCGTGTCATTGGGTGCATTTCGTTTTCTTCCCTTGTTTTTTTGACGGACCAGAGGATTCTTCACTTGCAGGTGAGACACTTGTAGGTGGGGGGTACTGCTGAGGCTGATGCTGGGATATCTATATGAGGTGTTGGGTCTTCCATCTTAATATCCTCAAAATCATGTGTAGTAACACTTCCGTGGGATGAGAGAGTGTCGGAGATGGTCCCCAACTGTCACAACCGGTCAAAATCGCCCCGTCAAACAATTGGGTGCATAGATCTGGGAAAGGGAGGACACACTTTTTAATTTGTCAACCATCTTGTTCAACTGTTTGACAAAATTATTAATATTATCAAACTTTTAAAACAAAATAATCATGTGTTTAAAATAAAAGAGTATATATTCGCCTTCGCTTCCAATCTTCCCCTATCGTATGAAACGTGTTTGTTTTAAGATTATAAAGATTCTCAGGTTTGTTTTTGAACTTCAACAAAGCTGTATACTTGTTTTTCAAGTAGTGATAACGATATTTCATTTGTTTTTTTTCAACTACAAAGTCATGTTCGTTTTTTAATTTTTCAACAACTAAATTGCATGAGGTTTCTTTTAGGCTACTACCCTCTCGACCGTTGGTTGCTAGTTCTTGTATACATGCTTAAGAAAACATTTGTTCACAACATCCGAAGACCAACTAGCTCTACTTCTCTTTTCTGCCATGTCTAAACATAAAATCCATAACACACATACACAACATAAGAGATTGATTTCATAAACATACACACATACACACATAAGAGCTGATTTCATACACATACGCACATCACACATAAGGGCTAATTTCATACGCATCACATATAAGGGTTGATTTCATACATATACACACATCACACATAAAGGCTGATTTCATACAATCAACTTGTTGAAGCAATATTCTATTTTATTAACATACAAATAAGGTTTGATTTCATAAACATACACACAACTTTAAAAGATTATTTCGTCACGACAAGATTCGAGTTTTACACAATGATGGATTTTGAGTTTTAATGGCTGATTTCGAGTTTTACAATGGATTGGATTATTTTTGAGAACATGTACACAACAATACTTGAGGAAGGAAAGAAATAGGAACAAGGGTACATACCTGAGGAAGACAACAACGAGGAGGAAGAAGACAACGATTAGAAAGAAACGACGAGAGGAGCTGCGTTGTTTTTCTGATTGGGCAAAATGGACACAAAAATTTGAGGACCGAATCCTACCCCTTTTCTACTCTGACCAGATCTGAAGCATTTGCGAGGACCGAGTCCAATGACGGTGTGTAAACAAACACTCAGTTTCAGACCAAGTCCGAAATTGGACCCAGTCCACATGGTATCAAACAACCCTAAAAGTCCTTTCTCAAGTCCAATTATATTGGTTACGAAGAAGGATGGAAGTTTGCGGTTTTGTATCAACTACCGAACTCTAAATAAAAATACCATTCTCGATAAATCTCTAATTCCAATAATTGATGAACTTCTAGACAAATTATTTGGAGCAAAATACTTTTCAAAATTGGATCTGAAATCGGGATATCACCAAATTTGAATTAAGAAAGAGGATGTGCTCAAATTGGCTTTTCTTACTTAAGATTAAGTTTACTATAAATTTTAAGTAATGCCGTTTGGACATACAAATTTGTGTTGGTTTTCTTTGATGCCATCTTGGTTTATAGTAAAACAAAATAAGATCATGGGGAGCATTTTACGCAAGTATTACAAATCTTGTTAAAAAGTTGATTGTATGCAAAAAACTGTGAGTTTGCTAAAGAAGAGATTCGGTATTTCAGGCTCATTGTGAAGCTCATCATTTTACAAAATGGAGTCAAGCAACAAAACAAGGTGTTTCTAGACTTAAGGAACAAAAACTTACTGTTGTGTTAACATTCAAAACAAAAATAAAAGCAACCTTGGATTAAAGTTAACTTGATTAAACTTTCCTTCAAAATTCACTTTGAACCATATAAACCGTGATTATATATTATTATTGATTATTGATGTGGATTTTTGTCAAATTTTGAAATGTAGACAAATTATGGGGACATTGAATTTGGTTTCTACCCTAGTGTGGCTCCTCAAACAGTGGAACACATTTACAAACTTGTTCGTTTGGGATGCTATAATACAAATCACTTCTTTCGGGTAACTTCTTAAATCTAAAAAAACATTTTTTTTAAGTTAAATTAATCAACTATTTTCATACGGGTAATAAAAATTTGAAAAAAAAAAAAACAGGTGGATAAGGGATTTGTTGCACAAGTGGCTGATGTTAGTAATGGTAGAACAGCTCCTATGAATGAAGAACAAAGAACCGAAGCTGACAAAACCATTAAAGGTGAATTCAGTGATGTTAAACATGTAAGAGGAATTCTTTCTATGGGGAGGTAATTAGTAATTAGTTAATTACAATTATGCCCTTTACTTTTTATTATTTGCACCTTTAAAGGAATGATGTAGCTACTTGAATTATTTTTTAGGTATTCAGATCCGAATAGTGCTCAATCATCGTTTTCAATGCTTCTTGGAGATGCTCCACACCTTGATCATGAGGTTTGACTGTTGTTGACTTTCTTTGAATTGATGCAAATGAAAATTTTGGAAATAATTTATTAACTCTTTTGGTAAATATCTTTGCTTAGTATGCGATATTTGGTAAAGTTACTAAAGGTGATGAGACACTAAAGAAGCTTGAGGAATTACCAACTCGACGTGAAGGAATATTTGTAATGGTATAAATTTATTTTATTTTATTATTATTATTTTTTTCCATTTTTATAACACCAAATTTAGACCATAAAATATATAATCCTTCATTCTTTCATAATTCATATATATTATAATTTTTATATTTTTCTTCTGATTTAGCCAACTGAGCGCATCACAATTCTGTCAACATATTACTATGGTGAGTACTTATGTCTTGTGTATATTTTCTTTTCCTTTTTTTTTTTAATTTTCAAATATAAAAGCAACAAATATTTGGTTATGTGAGTTGTAAGTTATAACTGATATTTCTTAATTCCTATTTGTTGTTAGTAATCTTCAAAAATATGATTCTAGGGAAATAAAAAGATTGTAGTATAAGTATTTCTTAAAATGTCCTAAACGAATCCCCAAATTTCTTTTTTTTGAATGCTGTATGAAAGTGGCAATATTTCCAATTTTTTGAAAGTTTGGAATCTAAAATTAATTATCTAACTTAATATATTATATATCAGATGTTAGTTTTTTTATCTGATGATTTAGTTTTTATTTAATTGACAGATACAGAGATGGAGAATTGTCAACAGGATAAAACCGTGTTAAAGAGGAGACTTGCTGCTTCTGCTGTTGAGATTGAAAGACAGGTAATTAATTTAATTTCCTTTTTCAGTAATTATTTAACATTAGTAGTTATTTTATGAGAAAAAGATAAAAAGAGCTACTTTCCTAGAAGCCTTTATTACAAAATAGCCATTTTTTTGACTTTTTCAACAAATAATTAATCCACCAATTTTGCAATGGGCCCACTGCAAAATCACTATCTACTGACTGCAAAATTTAAATTGCCCCTGTTATTTAAGGCATTTTTTTAGATTTATTTTCATTTTTACACACTTTTTTTTCCAACACTCCATCTGCACACCACAAAACTTCTTTTTGCTGTGAAAATGGTTTTTGAAGATCCCCACAAAAAAACAAAAAAAAAAACTTAAAAAAAAAGTTTTAGTGCATTCCTAAAAAATGTATATCGTGTGTATACTTTTTTTCATAAATTTGTATCTTAGTATGCCTTCACACTTATTTGATTATCACTCAAATATCTAAATACTAATATGATAACACAAAGCATACGAGTTTTTTTTAAAACAAATCAATGCCATTAGTTCATTTGTGGTGATGATAATATAGTATGAAAAGGTGTTCAAATTTTCATGGAATAATGCAAAGGAACATTTCATATTTGCAATATCTTTCTTTTTTGGCGCCTTCTTTGATCACTATTTCATTATCTGGCCATTTTCATACAGATATTTGCTAATTAATATTGATTTGGGTCCACATGATTCTCTTCTTTTGTCATTAGTAGTTACTGCATACAACCAACTTCAAACATTTCCTTACAACTACACTCCCAATAAAAAAAATTCAAGAATTGAGATGATTTTCTTTTGTTGTTAACAGAGGATGAAGTGTTTCCCATGACCAAAAAGAACATAGGTATGAAATAAACAACAATTCTTGGGTACCCATGTTATTTTAAGCTTATTATTATATAAAGTAAGGACCTAAACCTCTTTATTTTTGCAGAAATGAAAAAAAAAAGATTTGTCGAATTACATGGAAACATGTAATGGTCAATGTGGGCCTAGTTTCATTGACCTCCGAAGACAACCCAACCATGCTTATGATAGACATGCCCATGTGCATATCACATGCTTAAGGTAAATAGGATACACTAGAAACTTTATGATGATGGCTACATGATTTCACAGACACATGTGGATTGAGTTTGTTTGTTATGCTAATGGACAAGAGTGAGGGTGACTGTTGTTGACGCTTTTATCATGTCATTGTCATTGAATTTCTTCAATTTAGGTATATTGGTTTTATCACAAAGAAATTTTTTGACAAATGTCTGCTCCTGGGGTTGTAACACGACCTTTCCTTCTAGATTGGTCAAATCTTCACAAATAAGCATCTAGAGTTGTCTTGTGTGGTAAAAGATTTGACCTTTCTTTCTCAAGATTGTGAAAATGTTATAATATTGCATTTGGTTGGTATCCTAGGAGTCATGTAATGGTTCCTAGGGTAAATGCTACCATAGGAGCCGCTATCAACTCTAGTAGGGGTTAAGGAACATGGAGGAGGTAAATCACAGTGTTTTCATAACAAGAAAGATGATATACAATCTTGAATTTGAGATCTCACTTATGGATTCTATGAGTGTTAGGTTTTTATTTTCGGGTTTTGAGCATAACCGAACTGAACTACAATTTAGTTATTCGGGTATATAGGTTTGGGTTGGTATATCTTAAATTTACCTGAAAATTATGTTTTTAATTAACACTTTAAAAATTGATATTCCAACTACTATTATGCTAAAAAGATTATAATGCAATATTATCATGCTTACCACCACCATAACAAAAATAGTACCATATCCATTCTTGCCACTTATAATCAAGTTTAAAAACACCATAAAAGTGTGTTAAGCCTCAAAAAAAAAAATAAAAAAAATAAAAAAAAAAAAATAAAAAAATAAAAATAAAAAATCAACATGTATCAAGTTCCAAAACGAGGTAAGACCGACAAAATATATCCATTCTTCTTGCACCTTCATATTGTCATCACATGTTCGTATCCAATCCGAGCTCTATTTAGATGCACCAACTTATTTGAATTCAATATAAAAGTTATATATTATAAATATTAAAAAAGTAAAATATAACATGTCCAAACATTAAAATATTTATTGATAAACAACTACCTTTATCAATTTCTTATATTGTTTCTCAATCTTCGTTCACACTTGGGATTATCATTTGTACTATTTGAAGTCAATCTTGGGTGCAAATTAAACTTTCAACTATTTTAAGAATCAAAAGTTTGCTAAATGGATTTAAGCCCCTTCCATTGGTGCTAAAACCGATTTTGAAGCCATGGTTGAGACGAGAATGACTAACAAATGTTTGACAATTATGGATAAAATCGAGAATCTATCACTATTCACTTTCCACCATTTTAAAATACTAAACATTAGATAATCATCTCCAACATTTTTTTTCAAATATTTTATCTCCCACTAATTGATTTAATTACGTTTGTTTTCACTTTTCTTAGTTTATTTTTCAATGCGAGTTTTGGTGTCATAGCATCAACATTTTGGCATTTCCTAATATTGATGATGAAGTGGTAGACTCGATAGTTGTAACACCCGACAATTTAACATAAAGTACACCAAAAAACATCATTTTTAAACATGATATGGTGTTCGTTTACATTAAGCTACAAGTGCAAGTAGTTATCATAAATCTAAACATATAAAATATACCGAAGGATCAAACCGAGTTTACTAAGTTTTATAACCAAAAGCATAAACTACTTCTAATCCCGATCACTCCATATCACCTTTCCCATTGTGTAACACCCCACTAAAATAAAGTACACCCGATTATTATTATTATTATTATTATTATTATTATTATTATTATTATTATTATTATTATTATTATTATTAAATCAAAAGGAGTGTACATTACATTAACCTAATGGGTTTACAGTTAACAAAAGTCGTTATCTTACATATCAAAAGAAAATTGTACATGATCGAGATCGAGCCAGGTTTACAGTTAACAAAAACATATCATAATACGTTTGATTAACAAAAGACACTATAACTACTTCATCACGCCCTTTCCTTTATCCTGTATAATTGTACCTGCAATCATAGAAACATTTAACAAAGCTAAGCTCGAACGCTTAGTGAGTAGAAATCAATTAATCATAGTGCAAGACTCAACAGTCACCACAATTTATCTTATCATCTTTATCATAGTATAAATCTTAACACAATGTATCCATTTGTTTGCATTTTATGAAGGAATTGGTTCAAGAATCCTTAGCCCTTGGGATTGGGACGTCCCAAGTGATGTATATCTCAGATCTTGGATCTAGGAAGGGTTCCATGGCATAAAGGTGCAAACTTTATGACCATGGAAGCCCTATGCAAGCTTATAAGCAAGTTCATGGCCTTTTTAGCCCTAAAAGACCATGCATGGAAGGAAAGATCGGAACTTTATGTGTCCATCATATGTTAAAACCCTAGATCTAGGTTTGTATAAGTGGATTTGAGATTCTAAGGCTTTTTGGACATGATCTATGTCCTAAAGGAATTAGGGTTTTGTCTTTTAAGAAGAGTTATGAACGGGTAAAGTTGGAAACTTTACCCTTAGAATGGCCTTTCCAGTGAGCAAACGAACTAAGGAACATAGATCTGAATGGTAGGAGCTTAATCCATTGAGATGGCTCAATCAGACAGGGGAACTCGCCGAGTCCAGGGAAGGACTCGACGAGTTGAAGCGGGTTGTCCCGATTTTTATGATAGCAAGAACTCGACGAGTCTGTTAGGGGACTCGACGAGTTGACTCAGTTGACCACGGGTTTAAGAATTCAGGGACTCGCCGAGTTGGAAGATAACTCGACGAGTTGAGTTGACTTTGACTTTGACTTTGACCAAGGGTAAAATGGTCATTTTACCCTAAGAGAGGATTAGCAGATTCTGATTAAGTGTTATTATGGAATTGATAGTCGGAGAGTCGCCGGAGCAGCAGACAGGGATTCCTCGCACGAGTTTTCAGCAGTCAGTCTTGTGAGGTGAGTTTCCTTCAGTAGGAACGGGTCTACGACACCAAGTCCGACCCGTATATGTGATGTGTTAGTAGTTGAGTGTGGGCGGGACCCGAATCTCATAGTAGCTTAGAGTGGGCGGGGCCCGATGCCGATAGTATTATTTGAGTATGAATATGTGATTGTTTGGTAGATATACTTGTTATCTGTGTGATACTTGTATGCATGTTAGTAGCGGAGTGTGGGCGGGGCCCGAATCTCCTAGACATCGGAGTGTGGGCGGGGCCCGAATATCACAGACAACGGAGTGTGGGCAGGGCACGAATCTCCTAGATAACAGAGTGTGCGTGGGGCCCGAATCTCCTAGACAGCGGAGTGTGGGCGGGGCCCGAATCTCCATGAGAGTGGGCGGGGCCCGTATCTCCTAGGTGCATGATATTTGTATGGTATGTGGTAGTTTGGGGAGCTCACTAAGCTTCATGCTTACAATTTTCAGTTTTGGTTTCAGTACTTCCACTAGCAAGGGGAAGGGCTCGAGATGATCGCATGGCACACACCACAACTACAGCCTGGGATGTTTAGACTCTGATATTTTTATATGATTTGATACAATATTTTGACACGATATTTTGAGATACATGATTTATGGTTTTGTTTATGCTAATGGATGACTCATGGTTTTATTATAAATGATTTCAAAAAGAAAATTTTGGTCTATATTTTTGGGATGTTTCAAGTTGGTATCAGAGCCTTGGTTTGAGGGATTCAGGCACGCTCTCGGGTGTGTCTGAACTCAAACTAATGAATTGGTATGAAAATTTTCAAAAGAAAATCATTTTTATAAAAAGAACTGAGAAAAAAGGAAAGAATTTTGAAAAGAGAAAAGAACTTTGAAAAAGATAAAAGGGTGTGGTGCATGCAATCAGCCGAGCTCAACTAAGTACTCCCAAATTACCCATACAAGTTTATTTTATGATATGATTATCATCTTTATGAGAACAACATGCTAGATTAGGACCAAGGATCTAGGAAGGATGCCTTATTTGCCTATTATATGTGTATCAACTTTATTAGAATTGCATGCTAGTTTAGGACTAAGGATCTAGGAAGGATGCCTTATGTGCCTGTTATATGAATCTCAGCTTTATGAACTGCATGCTAGTACAGATTAGTCAGGGATAGCCTGAAAGAGATATGCTTGATTATGTTTACTCGATGCTCGAATGCTACTTGCTTTGTGCTTTTAGGAGTTCTAGTTATCTTTTACTAACTAGTAAGTGGATATGTTACGTTACATATTGCGAGGATTAAATAATTTCAGAAGGTTAGGTCTAGCTCTATTGCGCAACTCTTGTTTGAGTCCAACCGTTGTAGGGTAGGATCTCTCATTTGAAGAATTATCTAGTCTTAGTGATATGTAATAGTATTCACAAGCTAGTTAGGGGGAGGTAGCAGGAACTTCTCATGCAGTTGATAGCGGAGAGTGGGTCGGTGATTACCCTAGGGCAAGCCTAGGATGAGTTTAGCATGAGATCAGCAGTAGTTGTAGAAGAGACTTGGTGGAGTCGAGGCGAATCTTGAGGAAAGTACGGATAGATGTGGAAGGTAGTATGGGCCCGTACTACTGAAAGCAGAGGATCCGTACTCGAATCAGGAAAGGTTGAGATGAATCCTGGAAACTTGTAGCATGTTAGATCCCTCGAGATTTGATGAGTATACTGATGTTTGTTATGGTGTATTTTCAGTATGGTGGTTCTACGTCCTAGGCCGACGGGCACTTCAGGTGAGGGATCAGGTTCGGGCTCTGGATCCGAGCAGATGGATAAGCAGACGAGGGGGTTTATTTCGTCTGAGGTTACACGCAACATTCTAGAGCAGACTCCTGTGATCTTTGGATCGGTCAAGGAGGGTATTTTAGAGCTTTTAGATGAGATGCTGAGCGCTTTTCGCACTGAGATATCGACCATGATGGGGTCGCGCACACTGACTTTCCGGTAGTTCAGAGCATGTGAAGCTCCCGACTATCATGGGGTTCGGGACCCCATTGCTAGCAGCAGATGTTGCCAACGCGTTTCGCACCAGCAGATGTCCCGAGGGGGACAAGGTTAGTCTTGCGTCCTGTCTTCTGAAGGACAGGGCACGTGACTGGTGGGAGGAGGTTGGGAGAGCTATTGGTGATGATACAGTGTTGGATGCGATGACCTAGGGTGAT